AATGTTGTTTGTATTTACTCAACAAGACATTTATTGTATTTCTGGAATGATGAATGATTTTTCATATTCATTTTGCAGTATATAAATAATATTTAGTTTTTTTTAGATTTCTAGAAAGCGTAATTTTGAATCCCAGCATGTGTATTGTAGACGATTCATTGTAATAATTATGTATTCTCGTCATTAAAAAAAAAAAACTCAATTCGTTCATTCCACATGCACATAACATCATGAGAACAAAGTCATTTTTGGTTTAAAAAAGTCATTAATGAATGGCTTGCAGGGAGCACAAAGCTCCTATATTAACACAGACTCTGTGTCTGGGAAACTATTTAACCTACCTTGTCTGTATTTAGGTAGTGATGTGCATAAGTCTGAACAAGTTATTCAATATTTCTTCTACTACAAATTTCATGGATTTCGTGGGTAGAGTAGGTTAAAAAAATGTTTATGGAATTGTGAATCACTTAATTATTTCGAGGTAATTAGGATTATAAATGATTTGATGAAAGGTCAAGTAATGAATCTTTTGTGTATTTGAATCTGTATGAGCATGAGTTATCTGATTCAAGCATGTTTTCAAGCGTGATATTACATAACATAATTGAATGATAGCGTATGTGTGGCACGTGTTGGGCTGTGGCTTCCCATAGTGACATGGACAGCTGACAAAACAAAAATTTCTTTTCTGTGAATGAGAGGAAAATATATGAATAAATGGCAAGTAAATGACATATTGACCTAGATAGGTCAATGCTGAATGTGAATAATTACAGCTCACAGATTGTTTTCTTTATCTGTTTGTTTGCAGTAAAAGTAATGAGTCACAATGTCAATCGACAAAACAAAATAATCTACCAGTTTCACCACTGGGGGCGTTCTAGGGTTCATAGGATTTTAAATGGGCGACACAACTAATCGCCCACAAACGCAACATCAACAAAAATGATAGTGCCACTTCATAAATCTGGTTTTAGAAAAAAAAAATGTCGAACTGCAGACATCTATGTTATATTAAAGGCAGCTGTGAATAAATATCTGTGCCATGTGGGAAAACAAAAAAATCTTAAAAACACTATCTAAAGCCAAGAAATCTAATAAAATCTATGCATGTTTCATAGACCTCAGAAAAACTTTTGACAACCTTTGGCATGGTGGCCTGTGTTCGAAATTACAACATAATACTATTACTAGCAACATAATGTTTAATATACATGTATAGAATATATCAAATACAAAGTTGAAATTAAAGATGGCTTAACTGCACACTTTACATATCTACAAGGAAAAATAAAAACGTTGACACTGTAAGAAACTTTGGTTTTAGTTATCAATGTAAATGGGCGTTTCAAAACAGCTATAGAAAATCTGAAAGGAAAATGTCACAAAGTTTTCAGTTCTCCCTGAAAGAGAAAAAAAGGTCATGTTAGTAAACTAAACATTGAGTTGTCACTATCACTTTTTGATAAAATAATCTGACCAATCACTGCCTATGGTAGCGATGTCTGGGCGATGAATGTAATATGAAAGCTAGCATTGAAGACGTACATTTCAGTTTCTGTTGGTATCTACTAGGTGTGTCAAGACACACGTCAAAATTGACTATTTTCAAATACGCAGAGCTTTATAGTAGACACGAAGTTAAATAACAAATAGTACTCTGAAATAGAGACAGTGTGAACACATACCAATCACAAACAAATATAATAATTACAGCATTAAAATTGATCATAATTTATGAAAACCTGAGGATTCTTTAAAACAATTTGGAAAAGGGGAAATTAATAATGATAGCAGAGAAAACACACTAAGAACGTATGGTTATTAAATAAAATATCCGCTTTGAAAAATATACCTAAAAATAATATTCTGCGTGAGTTCCTTTCTAAATATGTAATATCTAAATATGTAGTGTGGTCGCCATTAATGTGCATGATAATTAAAGACTCTGTGAACACTGTGATGGAAATGACATTGGCGATTAGCAAGATTTTCATCTTTCATCAAAAAAAAAATGTGTCAAAAATCAATGTTCAATTCAATTAAAAATAAATTTGAATTTCTTATGACATCATGTCAATACCGGTCGCGCAGTTCATACTATTATGCATGCGATATGAACAGCAACACATACCTTAATCGTCTTAAATTGAAGCTGTATTTCCTCTACTTTTTTTTATTCATTTCAATTGTAACATTTTTCATCTTTTCCGAGGGCTGTTATGTGTTAATATTCGTATAAATAAAAATATTCGTATGCGTAAAGAAAGCGTACTACAATGCCAGGCCGCCAGCCTTTAAAATAATCAGACAAAAAAATGAAAGAATCGTAGCGCGATTTGAATGACAATTTTTAATTGCCTGTTCTCCAGCCACCGGACAATAGACGAGACATGGATAGATCGTGTATTTGTACATTTCTATGTGTTAAACGTCATATCCGGTGTTACGTTCTACGCTATGTATTGAAAGCAGTCTGGTTAGGTGCTTGTATGTTATTGTTTATTTGAAGGTAGAAGCCGAGTCATAATTTTTGACAAAATTGGTCACAAATCGCATGACAATGTTTATTAGTTTATTATGTACAAACATGAAGCTAATGTCTCATGGTACAATGAAATAGCATTAGTTTGTGTGTTACAGTTATTCTTTTTGAGAAACGTGTCCTAATATTTCTTAAAAATTGCTATTTTTAGAACAATTCCATAGAACACAATGTTAAAGAAAAATGGCATTTTTTGACACCTTTCAAAACCCAGATTTTTTAAATAATTCAGAACAACAACAAGTACTCCATCATTAACAATACATGATTTTTTCAACTTATGTCACCAGGCTAAATTTGGAGATATTGCATAATATCTCTGCCATAGAAACCTGTGGTAAAAGTGTTATAATAGTGTCAAAATGGCGTCTTTCCACTAAAATACAACCATCAATTTCTCGAAAAAAAGGCTGGTGACCCCCAACTTTTTTTAGGTCAATATCCTTATATTGCCTTGTAGTGCATTTTATTACAAAATGAATAAATTCTGGGTTTTTTAATTTATGAGTAGGCTTCTACCTTAATGATCCAAATTGAATTGAAGAAAGCACAATTTCGAATAAAGAATTGCATCCAGTTACTTTTAGCATTACATGTTAATATGATCATGAAATTCGGTATTTGAGATTCATATTATTGGTTTGGTTCTATAACTTGTTGCTAATCTGATTAAAATAAGATCTTTGTTGGGTTATTTCGTTATTTCTTCTCCCTTTTCATTATGTCGTTTTGTTTTCTCCTCTGGTCGCGAAATCCTCATGTGAGATGATGCCAAATAAAATAAATAAAAATAATGAAAAATAAATAAAACAAAATAATATTTAAAAATTTAATTAAAAAAATCCCCACAAATCGGGCTGTCGCGTTCGGCGCCCTAACTATTAAATTTTGTTTATATTTTACTGACTACTAAACTCTATTTCCTCGTGAAGTGAAGTGCGTTTCCATAGAGTCACGTGACAAATACCCACAATACACTTGGAGTTAGGAAGCCCTTTCCGCCATCTTTTTTTTTTCGATTTTCGCTTGGTTCTCGACGACAAAAGACATCGAAAATGGACCTCTTTATCGGGTTTCCAGAATTGAAATAGACCAACCATTGGAATTGTTTAATTCTTCAATTTACTGTTATTGTAAACGAAAAGAAATCGTCGTCGTCAAGAAGGCGTATTCATCGGAAAATTGACCGGGATAATTCATTGCACAAAGGAAGGCGATAGGCTAAATCAGCTGGAGGCGAAGTTGGTTCAGCTGGACTGAGACTGCAGTTGGGGTTATTTAAAAACTATTTCGGTGAATTTCTTTGATTTAAGTTTTGTTAAGACTTATTAAACCCCGTGTACAATAGGAATCATGACTGGAGGATCTATTCCCAGTGATAAGGTAAGTCGTTTCGAAAATAATTAGTATATTATAAAGTGAATTTGATTTGTTTTATTTCGTAAAATCGATTATAAGAAAACTACATATGTATGTTCGTCTTCTTGGTGGACATATTGTAACTGTACTTTTTTGTTAATTGTAAATAAGTAGCTATACTTTGTGATTTCTTGAGTGATTCAGTGGTGCCATGACGCACTCGTCGTAACGCGTCGTTTCGCCAGTTAAAAAGATTTGTTGTTGTTTATTTAGCACTCGCGGCGAATGTATTAAACGTGTTAACAGGAAACTCGCCTTGCAACCTTGAATGGCAATTGTTTAGTGGACAGGAAGAGTAGATTGGAAATGTCGAAATATAGTACTTGTGACGTTTTATTACAACCGCGACGGGAAAGGTGTGGCAAACATAATTCTGACGACATTATCAACAACAACAACAACACGACGTAAATCATGATTTTTTGGAATGAACTTTACAACTTGTTAAACTTATTAAATTGCTGCACTAAATTTGAGTTCAACACTTAATGACTATTTAATACGCCCATTTAAATTTAACAATGAGCCTTTTCATTCTTGGTTAATTATTTTTGGTACTTTCTTGGGAAACTGAAATTTGACTGTCATTAAATCGCCACGGCAAGGACAAAGTACAATCCACAAAAAAAAAACATTTGAAACTTATTGGAGGTCAACCAGATGTAGCACTACATGAATGAAAAAAGACAGTAACATTACAGTGGTCTGTACATAAACAAAATGAAGCACCATGACTGTTGATAGCAACACCTAAAAACATCTTCGTCTATCAATAAAACATTGTTAGAACAAAAGATCCAGAAAGCATCATTTACATCTACTTCCTGATTTGTTTTCCCTGTTAACATATTTCCATATCAATACACAAAAATAAAAATTGCATTTATTGTGTGCTGAATCCTTGAAATATCGCCTCTATTATTAATGCATGTGCTACAAATTGAGCAAATACAGTATCATGTATTTGGTTTAGCAAGGGTTTTTCTAGAAAAAATTAACAAAAGGGAGCACACATAGGCGAGGGTGCGGAGTGATGCCATATCGAAAGGCTTCTGCGTCGTTTTAACGATATGTCCATCTCCATTGAAATATTTTTAGAGTAATTTTACTGTATTTGGTGTCCAGACACATTGTCAGCTGGTGTTGCTGGGAAGTTTTTATGGAGAAAAATATATTTGAGAAAGATTTCATGTTGTATGGCAGCAAGTGCACGGCTCAAGAAATATATTTATGACTTGAAAGTTCAATTGGCAATTCAGTAAGAGGGCGTCAGCCGAAAGTATCAGTGCGCTGCACCCCTGTTCCTCAGTTTAGAAAAAAACCTGGTTTAGTGGCTCAGTAGTCAATTGTGTTCTGCTAAATGAAAAGATCCTTGCTAAATATTTTGTCAATTTGCCAGTTTGGTTGATACATGTATTTATCAATGCACAGAATGCTTGTACGTTGATGTTTCATAAAAAATAAAGAAAAATGCATGGCTGTGACGTTTTTTCAAGAAACCTTAGATCAGAAACAGATCTCTTTTTTTTGGCTTTAGAATCACATATCAAGCTAGTTTGTTTTGATTTGATTTTACTCACAAGTATTCAAATGCAATTATATAGTATAATCTCTGAAATTAAAAAAAAGCCCCCCCCCCCAAAAAAAAAATGACCCATTTAACTTTTAACCTATTGTGTTCTTCTGTCTGTATCAAAGTCTGGTTTCAAGTTAAACTCCCCTAATGTGGTAAAAAACAAATTTGTTTATGATCTGATTACAGTATTGTCAACAACTGAGATATTCAGATGTGGTGTCTAATTTAAATATATAGGTCAGTCCAGTGTAGAATTTGCCAAGTAATTTTGAATAATTGTTGAATATAAAAAAAGGAAGCCAACCATGCTAAATTTTTGTGGTTTTTAAAAATACTTGTGAGGAAATGACACTCACAGTCTCTACAAACTTGCATACCTTGTTAATGTGTTGCACACAGAAAAACAGTCCAAAGTTTAATCTCCAATGCTAACTATATGGCAATGCAAATATTTTCAGTGTGCTTCTGCTAGAAATGCATGTGTATAGTGTTTAACTACCGGTACAAAGTTTAAAACATTATCCAGCCTACTCCATGAATGACTGACTTGTTCTGTAATGAATTTATTGTATTTTAATTAATTATTGCGTATAAAAACCATGTGTATTGGTAAGTTTGCTTGTCATCTGAGATGTAAGCTTGTCTAGCCCATCAGAAAAGCAGTCATTTGAATAACTGTTACTGATACTTGTGACCTTCCAGTCTGTATCTATGGTGGTCTTATAACAACACAGCATGATTATTATCCCTTAAGCATAGTTGACATAGATCATCTATGGCTTGTTTTTCCTTTCTATTTTTTGATATACCAGTCAAACACCTTAAAATCTGTATACCTTTTGGATGTTGTCAACTTTTAATTTAGTCAAAATAACACAATTTTATTTGTGTCAAAGCAATATTATTGCACTATTTGTATGTAAATTTATTTTGTTTCATATCCTTAATATTGATTTGCTTGCTAGATCTAGTTGGATTAATATAATCATTGCTAATGCAGTTTAAAACCTACTTACATCTGTGTCTCGTTTTTTTGTTTGTTTTAAGTTTGTTTTTGACATGCAACTTAGCATTGTTTAGTTGTTGAAAGTTTGTTACCTCCATGTCTTATAATGCTAAGTAAATAGATATACACATCAATACCTGAGTTCATGGGAGAGTGTTTCTGTATGCTTGTCACTCTTGGGTGCTCTCTGTATTTTTTGAGCATTATTTAAATGAGAAAACAATAAATAATGTAATAATCATAATGTAGTTTTTACTAATTCATCTTAAGATAGTGAGAAAACTTTGAATAAAAAAATCTTAATTTACTAATGACACAGAGCATTAAATAGCACTTAAATTTCTTTAAAGTGTTAATCTCTCTGTTTTAGTTTTTTAGGAGGTAGTCAGTGCTAGTATTTTGTATGTTTAATATTATGTGTGTAGGTTATTGCACCCTGCAGTCAGTGCTGCAATGGTATGTTTAATATTATGTATGTAGGTTATTGTACCCTGCAGTCAGTGCTGCAATGGTATGTTTAATATTATGTATGTAGGTTATTACATCCTGCAGTCAGTGCTGCAGTGGTATGTTTAATATTCTGTGTGTAGGTTATTTCATCCTGCAGTCAGTGCTGCAATGGTATGTTTAATATTCTGTGTGTAGGTTATTACATCCTGCAGTCAGTGCTGCAGTGGTATGTTTAATATTCTGTGTGTAGGTTATTACATCCTGCAGTCAGTGCTGCAGTGGTATGTTTAATATTCTGTGTGTAGGTTATTTCATCCTGCAGTCAGTGCTGCAATGGTATGTTTAATATTCTGTGTGTAGGTTATTGTACCCTGCAGTCAGTGCTGCAATGGTATGTTTAATATTATGTATGTAGGTTATTGCACCCTGCAGTCAGTGCTGCAGTGGTATGTTTAATATTCTGTGTGTAGGTTATTGTACCCTGCAGTCAGTGCTGCAATGGTATGTTTAATATTATGTATGTAGGTTATTGCACCCTGCAGTCAGTGCTGCAGTGGTATGTTTAATATTCTGTGTGTAGGTTATTGTACCCTGCAGTCAGTGCTGCAGTGGTGTGTTTAATATTATGTGTGTAGGTTATTGTACCCTGCAGTCAGTGCTGCAGTGGTGTGTTTAATATTATGTGTGTAGGTTATTACATCTTGCAGTCAGTGCTGCAATGGTATGTTTAATATTATGTATGTAGGTTATTACATCCTGCAGTCAGTGCTGCAGTGGTATATTTAATATTATGTGTGTAGGTTATTGCATCCTGCAGTCAGTGCTGCAGTGGTGTGTTTAATATTCTGTGTGTAGGTTATTGCACCCTGCAGTCAGTGCTGCAATGGTGTGTTTAATATTATGTGTGTAGGTTATTGCATCCTGCAGTCAGTGCTGCAATGGTGTGTTTAATATTATGTGTGTAAGTTATTGCACCCTGCAGTCAGTGCTGCAGTGTTATTCCAAATTTCATGTTGACGGAAGCATACAGATGAACATATACAAGGTTTATGTATTAAGCATATTTACCTATTTAAATGAAGGGAGGTATTTATATTTTTTGAACTGATAACAGTGCTATATAAAAGTAATGCTCTAGAACCACTTGGAGACCACACCCATTACCCAGCCTTTGATGTGTAGTTTTATGTTATTTGTCATTCAATTTAAATTGAGAATGATGTTATTTATTCTTATATGAAACAAGACAGATTTATATATAATGTCCAATTTTAATTTGATAACACTGAGTAATCTTATGAATAAATTATGAATAGATACATTAATTAATTTGCATATCAAATTATATACACCGAAGTCCCAGTAGCCTAACCTGTGTTACAAACCTTACCCTTGTAGTGACCAATTAGAAGCAGGACTATCCTGATACACACATGTACAAATGTGATATACTGTAAAGGGGGTAATTATTCACTGGGTTTTAATTTAGCTTATTTCCCTGACTGGAAAAATGCGCTAAATTAAAACACAGTGAATATGTAAAATTTAGCATAGAACACATTATCTAAATGACGAAACCGTGAATTTAAAACCCACTGAATATGCCTGAAATGGTAAATCAGTGAAATTTAAACCCAGTGAAAATTAGTCATTTTACAGTATTTGTTAATAACACCACCATTGTAAAGTGTACTACACGTATGTCATACTTGCTACACACATGTGTATATAAAGTTGTGTAGATAAAAGCCGGTACCCGTTCTCAATGCCGTACTTATTGTGATGGGCGTTAATGATGTACTTGCACACATTCAACCTCTTGAGTTCTACGTAACATTCAGTCATTTTTATTCGCTTATAAACTGAATATTATAAAAAAGTTTTCAACATGACAGAAAATGGTCTATGCTTTCAGTCTGTAAATTGCAATCA